TGAAGCGCATACCAAACCGCGAGGCAGAATTATTTAGATTATTTAGTATTGTTTGCAATGCCACGGGGTCAGATCCTAGAAGAGCTATGTCGTCTGCGTACTCGATGTCTGTGAGCGGAGGCCCAGGGAGCACTTCGACCCCACAGGCATTAGAGGCATTACAGGCTGTGTTTATGCAGTACTAACTTCCAAAATAACTGGAGTCGTCTAACTACATGCTGTCCTCCAACAGTGTGATAGCCACAGGCCCAAATTGATCGCATCACCACCAGTCTAATTCGGATTGGCACAAGCAGAGAGGTGATTAACCTTTGATCTGGAGGAGGTAGGATAGCCCAACCTGAAGCCAGCACCTTGTCGTGGTCGAGCTCCAGAATTACAATGATCCTGTGGGCTATGCTGACCGGAACGCAATAAGGTCCAAACATCTTTGAAACCAGAGTCTGGTGCTCCTCAAAAGGCACCTGCTGTGCGCATCGGCCTTAGGGGCAAGGCAGTAGTACTTTACTCTCTGCTGCTTCAAGCCAGGTGAGCCCCTCGCAGCCGAGCAAGTCACACTGTTTAGTCATTGGCTCACCCTCAAAAAAACAACAACCGCTGCTTTCGGGTCAAACGTTTGGGTCAGAGGCTAGGAGTAGGGTCCCCGAATAAAACCCTACATCCACCCACTGCATTGTGCGTCAGACTTTGGAGTCAAGGGCTCAACATGGGATACCTCAATCAAAATCACTCTTCCACCTGGACGACCGGGAAATACCACTTGCCCTCACAGGCCCTTATTCAATGAATCCTCCCCAAAGCCCCCCACCCAAGTCTTTCTGACTCCTGAAGCTGTTAACTACCCAAACAACCCTTGGTAGCTAAGCTTCTGCCCAGTAAGTGAATTCAAAATATCTGTCTCACACTGCGGCTTTCAACATCCGTTCACCGTATAAAATGGGGAAACATGTAGCTCTCGCACAGGTCTTGTTCTCTCTTGCAATCGATGAATGTTATGCATCTGAAACACAAACAAGGTCCCAGTTCGATCACTCATCTCAAACCGCTCGGTACGAACCCAGAGTTATCGCATGCATTCTTCGTGCACTGGTGATCCTGAGGCATTGGCTTGTGGTGTCCATGGTGTAGTTGTGCTTAGCCTCAGGGCTGAGTGCGCTTTACTGGACTGCATTCCGGTTAACAGTCGCCATTACGTGGCTGAGTTGACTAATTTAATCAGAATCAATGCATCATTAAATGGTGTTGTTTGTAGTGCCAGCGTACGTTGCGGCAGACGACGGCTCAGTGTCTAACGCCTGCTTCGGTTAGCGTGAACGACATACATCGTGATTCTCGTACGAATGTCCTTCCCCTCGCGAAATCTGGAAGAAGCTCATATTGGAGACCGAATTTGGGTTGACGCTCACTGCGTAGATAAAAGGCAACAACCTATTCAGTTATTTGTTTTACATTTCTTCCGTGGAGCCTTACGTGGTGCCATTCAGGGATGTCCTAAGCCTCCTTTTCTCTTTAACTTCTCCATGGGTGTGTCGCCCCTAGGGGATCGAAATAAACTTGGGGTATTCACGAACAGTGAGTACGCCAATGATATTACGCTTCCTCTGCCAGACCCTTTAGAAAAGCAAACTATTTTAAATAGCCTAAATAACCCCACAGCACAGTTGGGTATGCGCTTCGCACCTGTAAAGTATTATATGTTACCGCAAGATTGGGTGGAATAAAACCCAAACCTCATGCTTGCAAGTGAACCGATTGATGTTGATAAGCTTGTTTATCTCGACAGCTTCATAAGCGCCGGTAAACTGGTGTAGGATGAAGTCACTTTCCGAATGGAAAAGGCCAGAGCAGCGTTCATCAACCTCTGACGTTTGTAGAGGCGACGTGGCACCCATTTGGCTCAAGAGTAGTGTACAAGGACACGGTAGGCTCTGTCCTACTTTACGTCCTACCATATGTGCCTGAGGCGTTGCGTCGGTCTGGTGGGAGCATCAGATCAGTGGTGTCCAGGTAGATCTGATGTATACCGTCTGGTGAACTAGGGTCTCCCAACGATACTTTTGCGGGTTTACAGATACTCAGACGCGTTTATCTTGCGGTTGGAAGATGACTAGCGCTATCCGTGACAATAGGCTTAGAAAGGAAAAACCATCTAAGAAACGATAACTGGTATTTGGAAAAGTGTTGATGACAATACGACCAGGATAGCTAAAATGACGTGGGTTTTTATGTGAATAGTTTCTTGGTTTTTGAAAAAACTGAGTCAATGTGACACAGTCGAACCTATAGAGAGTAGTTCAAATATAATCTTTAGCCGTAAAGACCACTTACTTGTCGTACATTGGTTACGGCTGCCACAGTTTAGTTCACCATTGATTTGGAGAGATGGGAGTAGATAGCTACACACTGAAGTGGGGCGACATGGCTGTGGTTGGAGCGTGAAGTTACTGACCGCAAGGTCCATGAGTCAAACTCGGCCTCTGCATCTCGACTTCTCCTGTCTAGGTTTGGGCAACCTGGCAGTATCCCAGGCTTCGTAATTCCTTCGCGTGGCGTGTAAGCTACACACCCAAGAGGTGTTACAACTGAACGATTGTCTTTTTCTTCTTTATCTTGTTGGAACGAGTAGTTCATTTAATAGATACGTCAATACAGGGATATCGGTGAACTTTTCACTCGGTCAATCGGAAAAGGAAGCTATGCAATGAAGGAAACAACTTAGGCGCATGCACGCATTGGGTGCACAACTGAGCCATGTTTGACATCTCCAACCACTGACGTGATTCGTCCTTGGGTCCCCATCCAAGGAATCGGCAATGATCAACGAAGCTAAGTTTGCTGGTAATGTTTTTCTATATTTTGCTACCAAGTCATTGCCTGACCTCCTCTGTCTCGTTTCCACCCTTCGTGTGGTTGTAGGAAAAGGGCCGTTCGAGGAATTCGACCGACAGGCATACGGATCAAGTGATCAAGTCGTTGCGACCTATAGAGAATGATCATTTCATTTACTGTGAGCGAGTTATTTCTTCCAAAAACCATTTGAGGTGCTTCAGCATTGATGACCCGGTGTTCCCAACGGACACGGGCAATGCTTCGAAGACATCGATAGTCAAACACTGAAGGTTTTTTGACGTCCTCATTGCGCAGCGGTCAGACTTCTGACCTCCATTGGAATATGGAACACACCACAGCATCGTAAACTCAGTTCGCCTAGACCACATGTGAGGCAGTTTCAGGAAAGCTGCCCTGGCATTTCCAATCCGGAGAGAAACCATCATCATCGACAGCATGACATCAGTGTGCAACACCGATGATTCACTGCCGTACCGCCATGATTTATTTGAAAGCCTTTTTGTAGAGAAAAGAATAAAGGTGGATGAGGGAGGAACTTAGTGCTAGCTTAACACAATCATTCCGAGGTGCCTACACCTCCAGGCACTCACTCAGGCAATCTGGATAGAAACTGACAACAAGAACGCCACTGACATCGGTTGGCAGCCATATCTTGTAGTGTCTCCAACCAGGCACAGT